TAATATGAACACGTGAGCATTGGGATAAAAGGCACATTAACTAGAAATAATCATCCATCATTATCCAAAGAAAACTTACTCCAAAACACACTGATAACAACAAATATGTGAGAAACAAATATGTGAGAAATTAAGGCCAGGGACATTGATTATGTATAACATAATGAAAGTAATCCTCTTAGAATAGGAATGGGCTAAAGAATGGCAAAAAAAACAGAGGAAAACCCACTTCTTTAAGAATGGCACCATCCAGATATGTCTTGGTATGAACATGGAAGCGTCCATCCTTCTTTGTTTCTTGCAAGGAATGCCCACGCATAGCTTTTGACACAGCAATAGCCAACTTCTCATGACGGTGCAATGCATGTGACCCCCCAATAATTACTACTTCTTGGTCATCATGAACCAACTTCTTCACCTGAAGAAAACAAAATACCCACATTAACATTTTAGAAACTCATACATCTTAGCTTCATGAGCAACTATAGTGTCTTCAGCAGAGCCAGAAATCAACCCAAGCAATTCCTGATCTGGTTGTACCCAAAGCAAATAAAAAAAAAAAGTTTGATCTAATTACCAAATACTGCAGAGTTACATTTGGGATGAATGTTCTTTGCTTTTAATCAGAATGTTTTAAAAGTTACTCGGGGTATCAGCTATCGCCACTGTATAATCCACTAAAATTTATCTAGATATTATTCCAGATAATGAGACAAGAATCAAGGGCTCAAACCAAACTTTACAAGCATAAGCAGATATGAAGATGCCATTCCAGGTAAGTAACTTACCTCTGCTTCAATTGCTTCAATGTCTATGCTGTAATTATGACCTTTTTCCATAATATTATACCGGTTATGGTTTTGGAGAACAATAATAGGTATAAGCAACCGTTTGGTCAGATCAAGAGTTTCAAACCTGAGTTCATCAGGGACAAACAAATAAGCAGGCTACAGAGAAGGCACTAAACCTAGTAAATAAGAATGCTAGTATGGTACGGAAGCCAAATAACATGAATCGTAAATCATAATCAAACTAAGCTTCCATTTTTAATGCTTTAAGAACCAAAAAATGCATGTACTAATCACTAAATGAAGATTGTGTAAAATTACCTGACATCTGGAGCTATAACATGCTCAATTGTGGTTGCTACCAAAGCAGCAAGATGTCCCATGAAATTATCATGGGTAGCATGATCACTGACAGAAATCAAACCTCTTGGAAATAACATACTTCGTATTTTTGGCAATGTTCTAGGGCTGACACTTCCTTCTTCAGTTTCAATCTTTCCATATGTGCAAGGGCCAGCAGAGAGGTCAATCACAACAAATCTGAACAGCAGGGGCAGAAATGAGACCCAGAGAAAGAGATAACCAAAAAGAAGGAAAAAAAAAAAACAAGAGGGAGGTTACACAGCTGATTGAGAAGTGGAATTTTATGATATCAAATATCTTCTTAATATTTTTTTACCTAGCATTTCTTACTCATAAGTCCATATATCAGGGACTCAAAAGTTAAACTTCTTTTGAAAAAGTAATTTAATTAAAAACAGACCTTCCAGAGCCCAGCCAAACTTGAGATGCTCCTCCTCCATTGTATCGATATCGATAAATGTAGTCTCCCTCTTGTTTTTTCATATCTTCATCAGTCAGTGGGGTAAGTTTGCCATACATCAAACTATCAAGATCAACCTCCTTATTCCTAGGATCCATTCTAACCTAAGAAAGAGGCAGAATCATTCACCATTGCATCAAAAAGGAAATTTTCAAACCAATGTAGCCATGAAAGAAAAAACTAAGTCACTAAGAATAATCAGAAACATTGGGTTTCTAGAATTTGTTTTAACTGTTCTAGACATGTGAGATGGATCAAAAGCAATATCAATATCAGCAAACTTCTATACAGATAAATCACAGAATTGAAATTCGAAAATCAGAGTTAGACTATACCTTGTCAAAGTTAACAATAAATATGGCACTTGGCACAGGTCTATCCGTCTCTTTAGCAGAATATCCCCCAGTATCCAGATCAAATAAATGTGAATATAGTTTTTGGAATATTGGCTCCACAGCTGTTGCACCCACCTCAAATAGGGGCACCTCTCTCCCAAAATCAGACTAAGATGTAAAAAAAAGAACTTCATTTCTAAAAAATTCAATATACTTAATTTTCCTTTTCACAATCAAGAGTAATAGTAAATTATGAAGTAATGTAGTAACCTCTCTTGCAGAACCAGCAGGAAGCATGGCCTCCTTCAGTGCCTTCTCAAGCGCAATTAATTCAGGCTGTCCTGCCTAGAGTACAAAACATTAGCAACTCAGTTTAGATCTCAAGCTGAAGCTTAAACCAGTAGTAATTATTAAGGTGAAATAATGAACGAAAAAGATTACAGGAAACGTGTTATAGACAACATGATGTTCTATATCAAGGGGCTCCCCAGTCTCGAGACACGAAGGCCTATGTGAGGGAAAGCTTAGTCTTAGAAACTCCTCCAATTTCTGTGCATCCACCTTGTATCGATAGCCACCATCTCCATTGAGACCAATTAGCACCACATTCACTTCGAGCGGAACCTGAAACGGAACCTGCACAAGACAACCTCTTCTAATCATAACCAGATATGAAAAACTCTTAACATTTTAACACTACTTCTTCAAATTTCTAGAGATTTCTAGAACGCAATTCACATTTAGAATCACATTTTACAAGAATCAAATATGCAGCTCAAATTCAGTCATTTCGAATCTTATAAGCTATAATTTTCGTAACTTAAAACGTTATAAAATAATCAACGAAACGATTTCTGGAGAAAAAAATTGATGTCGAAAAAGTTGAATCGGATACCTCGGCACGCGTGTGGAGCGTGCGGCGAATATCGGACCGAACGCTGTCGCGGACATCGAGGAAGGCGCTGTGGTGCCAGTGAGGGTGACCAGGGTCTCGCTTGAATGCTTGTTGAGCAGACTCGGAGTGAGTAGCGAGTCCACTCAGTGCAACGAGAATTAACGCGCATGATAATAAGCACGAAAAGCTTGATTTGGATTCCATTAGCTAAAATTAGAGTGGTAAGAGAGAAGAATTGGTGAAATAAAACTATTCAGTGCCATGATCAGATTAGTGAAGACTGAAGAGGCGAATGGTATTTTTTTTTTTGGTTTCGGTAACAAATAAATTATATATTAGTAATTACAAATTATTTGAATTTCATTTAAATAAAATTTGAATTTGATTTAATTATTAGTGAATTAAATTTAAATTTAAATTTGATTTATCAATTTAATCGAATTTGAATATTTTTATATCCGATTCAAATAGCTTATAAATTTAATCAAATTTTTATATTTTAATTATTTTAATTAATAAAATATCTCAAATTTAAACTTAAATTCAAATATAAATAATCAAATTTTTATCGAATATAAAAATTAAATTTATTTTTATATACTAATTAAATCTAATCAAACAAATTTGAATAATTTAAATTTTATTTTAAATCAAATTTAAATTAAAAAAATAAATTTTGATCAAATTCATGTCAAATTTTAAATCTCAAAATTTGAATTATATTCAAACTCAAGTTTAATATTGTATCAACTTAAATTCGATCGATTATATTTTTAAAAATGATAATAAATGAGATATAATAAAATTTGATTTGATTTTTTAAAAAAATAAATAAAATTTTAAAATGTAATTTAAATTAAAATTAAAATTTTATAAAAATTGAATTAAACGAAATTTTATTCATTTAATTTGATTTAATAAATTTTTTAATTTAAGTTTTTTATTTTTTATATATTATTTTAATATATTTAAATATACGAAGATACAACATAGTTTGTTATTTTATAAAAATTTAAAATATATAAATATTAATAAAAAGATATAATTGAATTCTATTCAATTTTTTTATTTTTTATTTTTTTTAATTTGAAATTCAATCTGAATTTAATATAAATATTTAATATTTAAACTTAATTTAAATTAAATAATAAAAATTGATCTGAATTAAATTAAATATTATAATTTTAAATTAATTTTTAGTTTTCTTGGATTTTAATTTTTTTGATTTTTTTTTTCACTCTCACGGAAGAGTGAATTGATTTTGATTTTCCAAAATGGTCCCTGCTTTTGTTGATATGTTTACCAGCTGTCCAACAATACTGTAATGGGCTCTGGTTTCATGTGCAGAATGGATTTTCAATTTCAACCAGCCCATGGATTTTGTAATGGGCTTTCTTTTATTGATAATTGGATTGGGCACTTGAAATTGAAGGGCCACATGTGAAGGCGATTCAACTCGATGTCATGTCCTCAATTGTCAAACGAAATGCAATGAATGGCTTTCATCTAAGATGGCAAATCTATCCACATTCGTTATATTTCGACCCGATATGATATTATAGAATCTATTTTAATCGGGTTTTAGTTATATTTTTTTAAATTAAGATCAAATCGAAATCGGGTTTCAAATAAAACCATTCAATCTAAATTGATATTAAAATATTTTTTATTATTTATTTAATTTTATATTTATAATATTATATTTATAAATTATTATTTAATACTTTAATTTAAGATGTTAATTTAATAAAAATATTATATTTATATATAATTAAAATATAATTTTTATTAAAAATATTTTATGAATATTATATTAAATTAATTTCAAATTAATTATAATTTTATACATATATGAATCAAATATAATATTTTAATATCAAAATCGAATATATATTTTATCGAAACGAAGTGAATAAAAACCCATCTTAACCTAACCTATACCCATCACTACTCTCATTGTGGATCGTACTAATGCCCTCGCTCGAACGGTATTGGACTCAAATGGGAACCACATTGATTGACCTCCCAAATGGCTTTAAAGTCTCAATTTTTAATGCTTCAACCTTGTGAAGAATCAAAATACTTTATACTACTATTACAGATGATGAAAGAAAATGAGAGAGTAACAAAACAGTTTGATCCAATGATGAGAATACATTACATTCATTCATATGTTGAAAGCTAATTATTATATAAGATATCTTCAGTATTTGGATTTAGACAAGATATGTTAATCCAAACGTGTTTCATCAAAAATCATGTTGACCTGCAGACAGTTGACCTGTTTAACCTTGTAAAATAATGAAACAGATGCGAGTGATGTTCACAAGTTGTGCAGAATATTGCAGCAAATCTCGACATCTTTGCTTGCAATTTGCACGTTGCAACCAAATAAGTAGCATGGCATGTTTTGACTTTTGACGTAGGAAGTACTATATTGTCGTCACTGAGCTTGACTCACTTGATCATTGAAAGCCAATTTATGCTTAAGGCAAAGACAACATGCATTGAATTAAGATTATACCGAGGAATTACATAGAATTTGCATTAACTGTTGGTTACACTCTTAACATTTTACAAATTGGAATCCTTTTAAAACAAGTGCTCCCTGTATCAGTATCTGAGCAGTGCATCAACTCCATTGGTGGACAGCTCCTCAGTGCATCATGAAATGTCTCCTTTTAGAGCAGAAATCTATTTGGTTTATGACTTATCTATGTTCTAGTGCACTTCGATTGGATACTGGAGGGTCTTGGACAGCACCTCTGGAAATAAGATCATGATTAAAGAACAACACAATAACAGTTATATCATCGTGAAAATGGCGTCGAACCTTCTTGTCAATCTTCTGAAGATCCGAATATCTCATTTCTCGTTTTCTGGCTGCTTCTTGTAGGGCAGCCTCGACAAGTCTTTTGGCACTCCCCTGCATTTGTAGAGGTTCATGAGCAACATCTTAAAAACCATTGATTATCTCTCATATCCTAATAAAACTCAAACAGAAGCAATTGAGTTTGCGAATGGTAGCCGGGAAAGAGTAGTTTAGCTAATTCAATAAAAGCATGTAATTTGGAAAAGGACGAACTTATAATTGAAGATACACAGATATTTAGTATCAATATGATCACATGGAAATTCAAATTAGCCAAAACAGCATATTTTGTTCAGTCCAAAAGAGGGGATACAAGGGGTAACATTCTAACACAAAAAGGCAGACAAATTATCAACCAAGGACCAAGAAAAAGCAGTTCTGTATCAATAACAGAAGAATCAGAAATGGGGTTGGTCGCAAAATGATCAGACAACTGAAATTTTGTATCAACACCAACCATGGAATGCAATGGACATCAAGAAGAGTCCTAATCAAAATTTGAAATTTGCAGGTCACCTAGTGCCTACAGCAAATGGCCTGAAAACACAAAAGCTTTAATGCAAGAAATTATGCCTTCAATAAACATAGAAATAAGGACAAAATCTTACTGCACGTGGATGACTGTGGACAATATCCACAGCTTTTTCGTTACTCAAGTGTTCCCATAGACCATCAGATGCAAATATAAGGAAAGAATCATTTGGGTGGAAAGTCAGAGAAATAATAGTTGGATTGGCACTCAATATAGGCATGTTCATTGGTTCAGGAAGTCTGAATTTTCTGTTAATTGGTTCCTTGTTATATCGCTCATGTTTCATATAAACGTCACCTATAGATCTAGAAACCTGCATCAAATACAATCATGAAATTTATTACATGACATGGTAATTTATGAAGGAGGTTATGAAATTAAGAAACAAGGCATCATGCATATACATCGAATCAGTTCTGAAAGATTAACATGAGAATGCTAACAATTTATGAAGGAGGTTATGAAATTGAGAAACAAGGCATAATGCTAATACATTTAATCAGTTCTGAAAAATTTACATGAAAATGCAAACAATCAAGAATAAGAATTCATTGATTTTAGCTGATTCAGAAACCAATACGCCTTATTACAGGAAAAGGATAGGAAAGCTCACTTCTGTTTGAATTTAAGACAGGAGACCAAGAATTCTACTAATTAATCAGGTGTAGGCGTCAGAGGCAATAGTATACATAATAATTGTAGTTTTCCTAACTCTTCAATTACCATGCATAAAGACATTGAAAAGTAGAGGCATATGCTTTGACCACAGGGAAATAGATTAACTTCCTAGAATGTGAACAATGAACATGATACACTTCATCCCGTGGGACCTAGGACCAGTATCTCCATGCTGGTTTTCATGGATAAGCCTACAAGCTAAGCAGTATTATGAAGCTTTCAGCAGAGCCAATGATTGGAAGAATAATCCCCCTCCCCCCAAACAAAAAAGAAAGAAAGACAGAATATGAAAGTTGAAGAATTTATGCATGTCTGAATATGCTGAATTTTGAAAGTTATACAAGACTTGGGTGTTTATGTAACCTGAATGATGCCTTTTACTTTCCAAACTCCATGCTTGAGGACAACGATTTGTGGATCATTTGGGTGTAATTCCTTAAGTTCATGCCTGATAGCCTCAATATTTGCATTATGTTCTGTTGACAACTGCATAGCAGCTATTCCTCCTGTGTTGCCAACTTTCTTGCCCAGAACAGCGCGCGAATCACCAAGATTTGCAATAAAAAGTGTTTGCTGATATATTACTCCAACCAGACAGCATGTCCCAACTGTTGCCATATTGGGTTGAGTACTCCATAACTCTGACACAAGGGCAGTGAACCCTTCTTCTGTTTGTCGAAAAGCTCTTTCAATGGTCTCAGCAGTCACAACTCCCTGTGACTCGGCTGTTATTGCTGCATAAACACAAAGCCTAAGAATGCCAACACAACTCCTTTTCTAGAAATTAACCCCATAACCAGAACAAGAAACAGGGTGTTAAACAACATAACACAAATAAGAAACTAAGGCAATAAAGGTGAATTCTTTTGTATTAAAGGCAAGTGACAACGGACAAGAAAATGCCCCGCTATAAACCATTGATCTCAAAAACTCAAAACTATTACAGTCGACTGATTTATAGTTTTGGGACAGACAAGAGAATTATTTTTGGTAAGCACTTCAAAAGAATCAGCTCCCTATCTTCAAGATCAGACATTTCATTCACATTTAGTTCTAAAAGTATCCAAAGAACACCTTACACCTGGCTGTTTTTGAAGCCAGAAATCACTCTAATTTTAGCCACAAAGAACAAGAAAATAACTCAATAGTTACTAAACACTTATTAAAGTACCAAAAAAGTTTCCAAATAGCTTTTTGCTGCTCTCAAACTCAATAAAAGTACCCAATAAAAAACTGCACGTTTTCAAAAACTAAAAAGGAAAAAAAATGAATGAAAATTACTACCATATAGTTCCCATTTACCAGTTCAAATATGAACAAATCGAAAAGCAAAATCCTGAATATCAACAAATCAAAGTTAGAATATTTTGAGTTGGACAAGCTTTAGAATTTATTATAAACACCCCCAAGAAAGTGACGGACCTCGAAAGTGCTTGAACAAGTGATCGCAAACGTAACGGGCAGCTTCGGGCCCGCCGTGTCCATCATAGATCCCAACAAAAGTGCCGAATTGGCCGGACTCGATCTGGCTCTGATCCTCAAGCACCTGGTTTGCTTGGACCACGGTCATCGAAAAGTCCCCGGAACCATATTTCCCTATATCCCGAAACCAAAACAACCCGTCTTTACCTTCTCTTGAGCCGCCACGACTACCGCCGCCAAGAATGCCGTTTGTCTCGTGATTTTCCCCGTCATGCCCAAATGGCTTAAAGCAGAGCGAGAGCAGATTCATCAATCCCTGGAGCATCAGACATCTCTTGTAACAAAAACACCCAAAACCCAAAATCCTACACTGCTGTACAATTCCAAAACCTTTACAATCTGACGACGTGATATGAGCTTTTAAGCAAAAAAGTGACGGCTTTCATTTAAGACCCTAAATTCCCCAGTCCTAAAAACCGAGGAATCCAAGAATGATGTGATGATTGATTGGAATTATATGAGATCGGGGCCAAATGGGGTGCGCAGGATAAGAGGTTGGAGGTGGGGCGTAAGCTAGAGGGAGGTAAAACGTGGGGGAAAGGTGGTGGGTGTTCGGTGGTAGAGGAACAAGGAAGGGATCGGTTGTTTTGGGTGGTTTCTCTTCGAGGAGATGGGTGTTATTTTCAATGTCTTTCTTTGTATCGGTAATGGATACAAAACATTACACAAAGGAAAATTTTACTTAACTTTTCTTGTGTGTTGTAGCTCGTGTCTATGCCCCCTATGCCTCCACTTTATCCCAGAGACAGCTTGTTTTCTTGTGTGTTTCCTTTCGATTTTGTTTTTTGTTGTCTTGTTTCTTCCTCTTCTTTCCCTTTGCCTCGTGATTCATTTCAAGGTTAGAGATTGTTTTTATAAGTTTTATTACTCAAAAGTAATTCCATTTTCATGTTCCAATGATGATCAAACTATAATCTGTTTATGAATGAATGATTACAAATCATACATCAACATGTTTTATTTCTAAAAATGAAAGAAAACTTGATCATTAAGTCGAAGTTTCCTTTAGAAAGAGCCTTCAGTTTGAGAAGTTAATTTGATTTTACTGCTGGCGACAAAAAGCGTTTTTTAAGTGATAGAGTGATAGCTCTATAGCGAAAAGCTTCTTAGGGTTGGTAATCCAACCCGAAACCGTGGACTTCTAACTTGATCCAATCATGCTGGATTTTTTTTTTAAATCGAATTTTAGATAAAAAAATCAAGGTTAGAGTTTTGATAAATTCACCTTGAGTTGATCTAGTATATATATATAATATTTTTATTATTATTTAATTATATATTTATATTTATATTTATTTAATTTTATATTTATATTAAAAAATAATATTTTATTAATTTAAAATCAATAAAATAAATTACGATTTTATATATATATAAAAATCAAATTGAATTAAATTAAATATAAAATTTAATTTAATTTAAATATTTAATCTATAATATCGAGTCAAATGACTAACGAACAAAAATTCGTCCTGATCTGGAGCTTTGTCAACTCTGCTTCCAAGACAAGATTTTTTTCTTTATCTTTTTAAATTTGCGTTAACATTTGATGACACAATGGCCGTGGTGGTCCCTAATCAGAATTCCATTTTCAACCGCATAAAAAAAATGGAAGTCTTAAAGAAAGCAACCTGTAATTTGGTGTTGGGGGAATAATTTCTTGTGTAAAAGGCCTAAATTTTGGTTGTTGAGAGTTTGGTTCAGCCTTCCGAGTCTTATCGTATTGTCACATTTTTAAAATGCAGAGAGATGGAGATGTCAACATCTTTGCTAGCTGTTTGCCGCCAGAGAAAAGAGGCAAAAGAACCACCATTGGAAGAGGCCTTCATTGCCTTTACTGTTGTCATTGGCCTCTTTTACGATACTTTTGAGGCATTTGATGTCTGGTGACAGCAAGAAACGAACCCAGCACTCTCTTTTATGGCATTTGTGACCCTGGAATTTGGTTCATGTTATTATTCACGTCAGACATCAGACACTATCGTTTTCGGCCATGCAAAATCTCAAACGTGCCTCTCATTTTGGGCGTTGATAATTCGTTCTAGGTGCCTGTAACACACCTATGACAATAATTTAGTTGAATATGAATAAATGAATATATTTTTATGATTTATTTATTTTTAAAAGTATTTATATTTATTAAAAAAAGTAATTTATTAATTTGTATTTGATTTATTTAAATAATAAATTTTTTATATTTGATTTAATTAAGTTAAATTAATTCGTTTATGAATATTAAACGAATAAATTTATAAAAATATATAAATAAACATATTCATGAATAATAAACAAATCATAATCAAACAAACTTAAACAAACAAATTTTAAACATATATTAATAAATTTAAACAAATATAAACGAATTTTAAAATAAAATTAAAATAAAAGATAAAATTATAATTTTGTTAATATTATTATAAATAAATAGTAATCGAATAATAAACAAATAAATTTTAAACAAATTTTTTCACGAATATAACCGAACTAAATATATTTTTATTTATATTTGATTTGTTGAATAAACGAATATAAAAATATTATTTAAAATCATTTATTAAGTTTAATAAATAAAAATAAATAAACAAAAATCAAATATTTTCATAAATAATTTATCAAAAATTCTATTCATTTACACTTCTAATCACATCCATATTTTCCTGTACTTGGCTTTTCATTTTGCATAAGAACTTTAATGCTCTTGAACAAGTGGATGGCTGAAACACTTCTTTGGCGCTGCATTTGCCTGCGTGCCATAAAAACAAGATATTAACATAAATTGACTCTGCCAATGGTCCGTTTTCAATTATTTTCAACAAACAAAAAAGTTTTTGTCTCCATAGTTTCTTTAGTGGGATCAATTCACACATGGGATTTTGTCAAATTTGTCATTATAATTGTCAATGTGCATCAGGGGCACTGCAAACCAAAATCAGTATCCGCCAAATATATTATGCTAAGGCACAGCCGAACACGACGCCGGGTTCCCGTAGTCATCAAAGCGGTAACATCGCAAGGCGACAAATGGGGCCAACTTAATGACATTCTAGGCATCAAAATATGCGGATCTGATTACCTTTTTTCTTGTATTCCTAATAGGGAAGGGTTGTTTTCTCTGACGTTTTAAGTTAAGTTACGGTGGTCACTGGCTAGTGGCTAAGACTCTAGCAACTCTAAGCCAGTAGACCCACTTCATTATTATTTTTTTTATAATACATTGCGGTAACGACATTTGATTCGTAAATTTTTAGATTTAAAAAAAAAAATTGAAGGAAAAGTAATATAAAAAAAAATGTGATTTATAAGTTTTGTTTAGTTTAAGAAATATAATATTTTTGTATTTTGATAAAAAATATAAAATTATTTAATAAAATTTTGTATTATATTATCCGTAATGATATTTTAATAATAAGTAATATTCATAATAGGTGACTTGTGAATGACAAATGAATAAATAAGTAATTTATTTAAAATTTTATTTATTTAATATGTAAATGGTTGATTTAGTATTTTTGTTAAATAATTTAAGTAAAAATATTTTAAGTTTTATTACATATATAATATATGTAATAATAAATTTTATATATAATAATTAAAATTTTATCATGATATAAAGTTTTTAATATTAAAAACATCTTTTTTGTTGCAATTTAATAATTTCAAATTTTTTTTCATATTTTCAATAAAAACCGTACTTTTATGTTAAAAACATTGTATTTGTTAAATTTCTTAAAAAATAAATTTTTTCATATTTGTAACAAAAGCTGTGTTTTATCTTTAAAATATTATTTTTATTGTATTCTGAAGATTAAATAAAAAATAGTATATAAAATTATTATATTTTTAAGATAAATAATATTATTTATATAATCTAAACCTGACTTAAGTGAAGGTAAATACGGTAAAAATTTTACTTTTATTTCAGAAACTAAAAACTCGAAGAGATTAGAAATTTTGATTCCCCTTATTTTTCCCTTTTTAACATTGTTGGGATTGTAAGTTTTCTTTTACATAAAAATTTTTTTTAATGAAACCAAACAATCAAATAACGAAAAAGTAAATTTCTAAAAAAAAAAAAATCTGATGAAGCAAATGTCTCAAGGTTATTTTCAAAATTTACCTTAATCTAATCATTTCCTCAAATTATCTTTACATATTCTTCCACGTAAGTATATTGCATATAAAATTTTCCTCTCAAAGTATTACATATTCTACTTTTTTATTCAAAGGTGATAAATAAACTTTGAACTAATTTTATAATTAAATTTTAATATTTAAAATTAAATATAAAAAATAAAAATTAATTAAAATAATTTAAACAAATATTCAACGAAAATTTAGTTTAAGCATCTATCCGTCCATAGTCGTAAGTCCCGACCAAACCATAACCAACTTGGATTGGTCAGCTTTCTGGAAGTCATAGCCCACAGAATTTGGTTTGGGTTCCTTCTGATTAGTTGGGTTTGCATTTGCTGAATCAACCTATGATTCAACTTTTGAGATAGGTACTCCATTTCGCCTAATGGCCCTAAACTGGCTGAACAAGATAAATGGTGTTAAAAATAAATTTTATTAATAAAATCCAAGGTGCCATATATATATATATATATATGTATATTATATAATCCAGAGCATCATCTAGCCCTTCTCTGCTCCTTGAAACACAGTGATTAGGCTTCCTTTCAGGAAAGTGTTTTTGGCTTATAGCTAACAATAAAGGCTAGAGCAACCCCTTGGTTGTTTGTGCCTTCCTTTCCTAGGAAAAAGTTAAGGCATCGCTGAACTCAACTGTGCCCCATTGGCTAAGTGTCCTATTTAAAGAGGCTGCTACTTGCACTTTGATGTCAGAAATTCCTGTTTTATCATCGAAAAAGACAATTATTGTTTGATATATATATATACATCAGTCAACTTTTTTCGTTTTTACTTAGTGTGATCCTTTAGGAGGATTAGCGACTGTAATCAGACTTGTAGGCATGTTCATTCATGGGGAAATAAAGACCAAATTTCCCGAGCGTAGTTAATTCATGCGTCATTTGAAATCCAATAATTTTAAAATTCAAATCTCAATACTTACAATTTCTTCATTTATTCCTGATAACACAGTCTCCGAATAACAAATGCCCCGCACCTCAAAATGCATAAACTCCAAGGGAAAGATTAACTAGAAGTTACAGCTTAGGACTGCAAAATTTACCAATCAGGAATGCTGATATATATAGCGATATAGCATAAAAAATCTGATAAACCTATAAATTTTATGCTATCTAATGATTAAGAAAAGAGCTAGAAACTAACAGAAACACAAGAAAGTAATCTAGTAAATACACTGTTGCCTACAAGTTTTAAGAAACATGAACAGGATCAGTTCATGGTCGTTCTCCTTAATTTCTCTCCTGATATCTAAGTTGTCATGGCTTCCCAAAACGTTTTCAGTTTGCTGATAATACCGTTCACTGGTTTTTCTTGAATGTCAACGTCAGTTACTAGCTTTTCAGCCATGTTCTGCAAAGGAGCTCCAATTCTATTGAAGGCATTGAAAAGATCTGGATAGAGTTTGTCCATGGAGTTCTTGAATTGCTTTGATACCTTGATTTTTTTCTTAGAAGATGGTGCATTAGCATCATCACCATTAAAGAAGCCGATGCAAACACGACACTCTTTATAAGCAATACAAGCCCTTAATATAGTGCTTCCATGCTTGTGAAAATGTGCAGCAATGAGAGCCTCAAAATTCCTGAGTGGATTTCCAAGCTGAAACAGCATTGTCTTGCAAGACAAAGTAAAAACGTCAGCATTATAAGCTTCCCAGGGTTTAAGTCCAGGCTCGTTGTAGTAAGGTTTCTCATTGAGCACAAGTCCCTGGAGCGAAACCAAAACCTGAAGAATTGTCGACTTAAGAGGGTTCCACTTCTCTGTCCCTACCCCATCCCAAGTGTTGAGCAAGCTCAAACAAACATAACCATTGCTGTACAAATTCGGGTTCAATCTGAGTCCGAACGAATGGTAACGTACTTTTGGAGGGTTGTTGGGATAATCAGAAGGGAATGAAATATCAAAGAAAAAGAGTCCATGGTGATAGGGAGTTTTTTTAGCACCCATGATCGCAGCACTGAGCAGATCAATCCTTTCTTCATAGACTCTCACATAGATTGACTTAGGAAGATGCTTCTCAAGAATTTCCCACTCCTTCATGATCCTATTTACAGTACTCTTGTCATTGATTTTTCCATGGATGTTTTTCTTCTTTGTCTTGGCACGACAATAATAATAATGATCTGAGAAATCAGTTACACAATCAAACTGCTTGAACTTAACACCAGCTTCTTTCAGCCCTGTATTTATGGATCAAAGAAAAGAAAACAAAATTATGGAGACAATTTGACCCTTCATATAGAAGTTTGTCTATCAGATAATAATCATGTATCCAAATAAATTTTTTTTTTTCACATACATTAAAATTTTGCAAATCCAGAAGATTAAAACTAGTCTTTCTTAAGAAAGTTTGAGAATGAGTTGAAAGATTACCTAAAGCCATTAGTTTAAGATTGCTCCAGGGTCAAGCTCCTCTGTTTATTGATCTGTGCCGCCCTTGACAAGTGTCTAAAGTTGAAGAAAACCCGTCGGCTAACCTCGTCCTCGTAGCATTACTGCTTTTGTAACATGTCAAAGGGAGTTTGGGGGGGGGGGGGGGGGGTAAGGGTTTAGGTTCCATACGACTCTCTGGATTTTTTTTTTCTTTTTATAACCGAAAAAAGTTCAATCATCAATAATCAATGTGCCCAAGAACTAGTTCTTTTGGGGATAAATATTTTTTGATAATATTTTCTTTTTTCTTTTAAATAGTATAGTACTAATTTTTTTTCTATATAGAGAAAGACAACCAATTGAGTGTGATTTTTCATATGGTTTTTAGGGACAATTCAAATTCAAGATTTTCAATTAGTGAGGTTAATTCATTCAATAATTTAATCCTAGGTTCAAGAATTTAATCCTTTAGAAAATTTAAAGCAAAAATTACACCATACGATTTTAGAAAATTTAAAACAAAAGTAGTAATATAAAACTGGTTACCATAAAAATTTTACTTACTTGGCAAATGTGCTATAAGAATTTATTTGAATTCGTCAAAAAGAGGTCTTAAAATCTTAAAATTTTAAGCTTAAATCTAATTATGTATGAGATGAAATATGCTAGTTTATTTTTTGGTTTGTCCAATTGATGTAATTCATTGACATTATATTTAATTGTAATTTCTAAAAAAAAAAAAAGAATTGATTTGAATTTAAAATGGTAAATATAATCAAAAGCAAGTAAAGAAATTGAAGATAAAGAAAGAAAGAATTATGATGAAAACCAAACCTCGGCAACCTTGTAATGGCAGGGCCTTTTTTTTTTTTTTGGGATATGTAATTGAAAGAGCAGTTCTCATTACAAAGAGGCTCTTCCAGCAACCAAGAATTTATTAACATTTCCTTTTTACAACAGTGACTAAACGGGAAGAAAGAACATCCATGGATTACAACTTGGAAGATGGTTTTGTGGAACTCCATCTAGTTATGAATTCCTGCATCTTCTTTAACTGTTCTGTGGTCATTCCTTTGTAAAACTTATGAGCCCTCTACTGATAAAAGAAGAATGAGATTGAGAACATTAGCATAAATATGCATAAAAGATCAACCAGTCATATTAGCTGCAGTTATAAGAACATAATGCTCAAGAGGCTTCTTTAAAGAATGTTCATGATGTAATGCCCCAATCTCGTATCGAGGTAATCTAAAGTTATTGTATGATATATATGCAGAGATTTAAACCCTAAATTGTGATATATTTTTTTTGAGATAAATCTGTTAGACTTTCAGATTAAAGCGAACAATATCTTAAAAGTTTGATGCAAGTCTTGCGGATGTCCACACATGATCAGCCGCAACTGATATGCCATGGTCATTTCTTTTATCGACTTCCCTTTTAATCCCTTCAATTCTCCATTGATGTAATCTATGTCTATCAGTCCTGACTGGTGAAGAAGGTACATATTGCTCCAAAAAATAAAAGGAAAATCCTGTTCTTTACGACTTAAATGCAGGGCAAATATGAAGAACCCTCATCCGTGTTGGCATATGTATCGACTGAAGCTGTCAAAGCTCCTTGATTTAAAGGTTATAAGATGGGCAGATACAGAATCTTACAAAGGCTCAGGCTTAGCCACAAGCCAAACAATTTATGAGTTTGATACATTGTTTTGCAAACTAAAATTACTTAAAAATTGAAACTGTTATCTTTGCTAACCAGAAGATGTTTAAAACCAATCCCATCTCTGTCTAAAACTAAGTAAACTCAAGATGTTGGATACCTTATTGATGATATGATATGACATGAAGAACACACAATCCTCAACCAATCCTATGCTTGATATGTAAGATGAAATTAAGTAAAAAATGAATACCTTCTCAAGGCGAGACCGTGATGGAGATCCAACTTGAATCCATCATTGATCACAGATTTGTACCTAATTACCAGGTCCTGCTTATTCTTCACAATTGCTCCAGCAAGTTGTCGAACTTTCTTCAACAATTCACTTTCCTCAACAACATAATTCACAAACCCCAACTTCTCAGCCTGCTCTGCCGTCAAAGGCATGGCTGTTAACGATATTTCACGAGCCTTATTTGGTCCTATAATGCGTGGAAGCTTCTGAGATAGACCCCATGAAGGAAATATCCCAAATCAATAAAACAACAATTTTCAGACACACGAAAGCATCACATAAATATATTCAAGCTTACTTTTAAGATTCGATTCTTTATCGTTGTCATGTCCCAAATCTTTACCATGTTTATCCAGATAACAAATTTACCTACTACAGTTTCACAAACTACTTAGTATTTATCAAAAGAAAAAAAATGAAACCTGGTATGAATATCAATGACCTCGGCTCCTTTGACGGCAACCAGAATATCACAAGCGAGGGAGATCTCGAACCCAGCAGTCACGGCGAACACGTTGATAGCCCCGATAATGGGCTTGGGGCACTGTTCCATTTGGAAAACCGGGTTTGAGTCTGGGCACTTCACGTCACCCTTGAAAACTTGCTCTGCCGCCGTCTAGTCCACGCCTGAACAGAAGGTTTGTCCTGACGCTGACAGAATGATGACCCGAACCGAGTCGTCTTTTCCAAGGGCCTTGAACGCTTGGGCCAGGTCTGTCATCATGCGCAGAGTCAACGAGTTGAGAGACGGGGGTCCGTTGATGGTGATGGTCGCAATCCATCGGGTTCACGGGTCACAAGGATTAGTTTCTCCGACGAGGATTGGCTTATTACTTTTTTTTTTTCTGATTTATTTTGTGGAAAAAAAACAGTTTTTAAAGGGAGCACCAACAGAAGTGATTGTTTGACTTTGGTTTGGATTAACCAGATGTCTTGGACTGCGTGTCGGTTATGTCGTTTGCAGGTGACAGGTGCAGGCCTATGCACAAGAAAACTACCATAACATTCCAATTGGATCAAATCCTTAGGATAGGAAATCATTAGTATCAAATTAAAGCGTGAAATCATTAGTATCAAATTAAAGCGTCTGTCAAATTAATCTCATGTTAGCATATAAGAATTCTTTCCATTAAGAACTAAGCTTGATTTAATTAGCTAAACTGAACTATGGCTTTTACTAGGTAATCAAGCTTCTTCATGTTGTGGTTTTTCTTGCTATGCTATTGCCTTACTAATATTCTGCCGTTTCGTTGATTACTGATTGGCGTCGGTCCAATGGACCTTTGTCTAGCTTGGAAATGGGCAAAAATGGCCCCCGTCTTATTGATAATTGGTCAAGTAGAAAGTGGAAAAACATGGTTAAACAAGCTTAATTATTATCAAAAATCAAGGTAGAAACGGATTGATAATAGGTTCCTACTGCAGAATATCTATGCCGAACCAACAATTCTGATCAGTTTATTGCATTGCAATTCTTTCTAATGACACCTTGTTTCCCGGTTAGAACCCCAGAACAAGATAGCTTCACAAAAGAAATCATCCTGATTAATGGAGAAATGTTGCATAAAATGAGTTGTTCGCGGGTCTAATACCATTTCAGCATCTATTTTCAGCACTCCCCTCCCTCCCATTTCGTTAACATAGTATTCGTTATCAAATGCAAATGAGGTAGGATCATTGAGAACAAAGCTTAAATTCGAGATTAACCTCATAAAATGCTGCAAAACCAGGTTCCATTGCTCTAAGGTCACCATTGTTAGGACTGTAGTCGGTCCTGAATGTTTGAACAGTGCGTAATTCCTAGCGTATGGGCACCTGCAAAGGTAAGTAAGGTAGCAAGTGGTATTTCTATACAGGAAAAATGCATATACACACACACACATTAAATTAACTATATATGTTCAAGAAATTCATGTGATTACCCAAAATGGCAACAGATTCTGCAAGAGTCATTCCTTTCTTGGCGAAAATGTTAAGCATGTCAGCTAATCCAGCTGTTGCAGGTGGGAGCAATGCATCTGCAAGTTCATAGCTAGCGGTGTGAGAAGATCCCTCCGTCCTAATGGAACTTTTATCCGTGGCCTTCCAGTCAGAGCCACCGCCTCTCGAGCAGCCAATATGAGAATGTCAGCACAAGAAACTTGTTGGGGGCATTGCGCTTCTACCATTGATTTTACAATGCTTATTAACTCCATCTTTCTAATTCCAAAATTCTTTGTTGAAGCCATCTCCGTTGGCACGCTTCCCTCTCCTGGATCAAATAGAACGGAAGCATCACAACCCTAAGATAAAAAAACTTAGACGTCAAATGATAAAGACTATGCTATGGATGCAAAGAGGATATGATTTTGACAGATATTCTTATTGTACCATTGGCCAAAACCCCTTGAGGCCTTGGCTACAAGCCTACAAGGTATGGCAGAGTGAAATCTAGATACCTAAACTTGGCAGTCATGGAACATAAGCCTTAACAAAGCCGCTGGCGAAGTGGGATCTGTGAGAAATATGGCCTGAAGACCATTTTTCACAATGTCCTCAACTTGTGGACACGATTTCTCATAGAAATGATAAGAGAGGCCCAAACCATTAACCCCAAACCTGAAATGAAACAGGAAGAATACTGCAACTATGGTTCTCGTGACCATGGTCTTTTTTAGTCAACAGTAAAAGAGCTTAATTGCAGATATGGCTCTTAAAAACAGAGAAGGAATACCGTTGTTTGTCTCTGTGGAAAGTGAAATGCTTTTCCATATCTTACACCAGCTCGAAACATGTATTTATATTACTTTGCCATTTGATTAATGATTATATGACGTAGAAGTGCGTAAATAGTACAACTTCTGATAGTTGTAATCTTTCCTCAAAGTGATTGGCAATAAATTTCATCAAAGGCTTCAATTATCACTGCCGAATTATCTAGTTTCTATATATTGATCACATTCATCTTGAAGCTTAAGTACAAGTGACCTCTTGGGACCAAACGTGACTTCAGTGCGGTGTGATTGAGTTCCCACCGCACTGAAGTTTTTCGTCGAACAGGCCATAATTATTATATCAGGAAAGTTATATTGTTTTTACACTGCACAGAACCTGCATGGCTGGGTTGAGTTTCAACTTCATGAAATAATGCTGAAATGCATCTTCATTTTCCATGCGAAATCAAAACTACGAAGTAAAATTTTGCAGGTCAAGGTGAATTGAATATGGACAAGTCAATCAAAAGTTATTACACAAAACTTTAGTTCTTTCAGCTTCAATAATTTGCCAGGGAAGGCCAAAAGAATCCCCAGAATTTTCTTAATTATCACAGATTGTCAATTTCAAACATTTAATAACCCTTTCATAACTTCATTTATCATTTATCTGTATTTCTCCATTTGGATTGAAGAATTATTGTTCCCTGCCATCAGAACTTTCTTCAAATGAAGAAGCTTGACCCACATCCAATTTGCAATTACTAATGAGAAAAGAGTAATCACATGGCTAATTGTCTCGAAATTTCTATGCCTTGGTAAATCCCATATGTACCCAAAAAAATAAATGGTAAAGATTGTGAATGCTATTATTATTCCAACAAAAGTTTCAGAAGAACTTAAAGAAAGCAATGCATGTGAGCCACAAAAGAATTTGTTGGATGACCTCTAAAATAGAGATGCCTTTTTCCAACCAAATTTTCGGCCAATTTATGAGCATCCAATTTTACCTTCCAAACAAACTGCATACCAAAAAAAAAAAAAAAATCGTCAAAAACCTCTCAAAGGTCTTCTGCAATCTCTCCTCAGAGAAGCCTCAAACCAACTTCAAAACATGTCTTGGACATTTTCTATAGGACCAATGCATCTTGTCTTCGCAGCCATTTTTGCTGTTGCAATCTGTTTCCCGGGTTTTGCTGATGGCATGTCAGCAGAAACAGTCATAGACTCTCCTTTGTTAACAGAGAAGATTGGAACCAATATAACAATCAAGGTTGATCTCAATGGTGATGGAGACTTCACATCTGTTCAAGAAGCCATTAATTCTGTTCCAAAGGGGAACTCTAGATGGGTTGTTATCCATCTTAGGAAAGGGGTTTACCAGTAATGATCTTCTATGAATTAAATTACCAACAGACCACATGCCTATGGAAACCCTGTTAAAATGTTATTATTATGTTAATGTTTTCAATTTTCTTCCTGGCAGAGAAAAGGTGCACATACCAAAAGATAAACCTTATATCTTCATGAGAGGTAATGGAAGAGGAAGGACGGCTATCGTCTGGTCCCTAAGTTCTCATGACAACAAGGCATCCGCCACATTTACAGTTGAAGCCAAGCACTTCATTGCCTTTGGCATTAGCTTCAAGGTAAGAACCTCTTATTTTTCAATGTGTAATTGAACATTGATATCACAAAAAAGGGTTTCCATTTGTTTACTCCTTCAATGCAGAATGAAGCACCTACTGGTATTGCTTATACCTCTCAGAATCAGTCGGTGGCAGCTTTTGTGGGTGCAGATATGGTTTCATTTTACCATTGTGCTTTTTTTAGTACCCATAATACTCTCTTTGATTATAAAGGGAGACATTACTATGACAACTGCTACATCCAGGGGTCAATTGATTTCATTTTTGGCCGTGCAAGATCTATTTTTCATGTAAGTTAGAAACTAATTTGATTTCCTTTACCAGAATTCCGAGTTTGGAAGAGAAATAATTTTGATTTTATGACCATGGATGCAGAATTGTGAGATCTTTGTGCTGCAAGACAAGAGGGTTCAGATTCACGGTTCCATTACAGCTCAAAACAGGGAAAGTCCACATGATAACAGCGGTTTTGTGTTTATAAAAGGAAAGGTTTATGGCATTGGAGGTGTATACTTGGGAAGGGCTAAAGGGGCCTATTCAACTGTGATATTTGCAAAGACATACTTGTCTAGGACAATTGTACCCCATGGCTGGACAGATTGGAGCTACAACGGCGGCCCAGAGTAAGAAATTTAGCCTTGTTCTTGTAAATTTATGCTGCACATTCTCCTTCCTTGTTCACAGGCAACTCCATTTTCTCTTATCTGATGTAAGCCTCCTTTATGAATGAAAACAGTAATCTATTCCATGCGGAGTACAATTGCTATGGACCAGGATCTGAAACAGGTGGACGAGTTCCTTGGGCAAAACAACTGACAGAAAAGGAAGCTGCATATTGGACTTCGATTGATTTTATAAATGGCAAGGATTGGTTGCCTGTATGGCTATGAAAGCAATAATTTGTTTGATAGTATCATAAAAATGAGAGGAAAACTTAAACGGTCCTTGCGGCATTTCAGTCTCCAGGCTTCCTGCATGCAGTTGGCTGGTTTCATGTATTGTCTCTGGCCTGTAGGCCTTAAGCTCAGATGAACACAGACAAATATAACGTACTCATCATTTGTAAAGCTAATTTTCAACATCATTTCAAGTGCACAAGGATTTTGTAATTTCTGTATTTCAAATTTATTCATTAGCTGGAATGGTAGACCATCTTCCGTTTTTTCTCTCCAAGAATGATATTTTCATCCAGGAAAAGATCTAAAAAGCCCCAAAATGTTGACAAGAATAACATCAAAGGACAATTGATGTTGACACTCTTATAGAACAAGTCAATCAGTCCAATGTTGAGATTATGATTAACAGAAAACAAATCCATTGGATACCTTTCTTTTCATGGTTCAAGTGGTACATCATAGTAATACAGAGAAATAAGAAATTGAGATTTGGACATAGAATTTTGCTAGGAAACACATTGCAGTTTTTTACTTTTTATTTGCTTAATAATAACTACACTAATGCATAGCATGGTTACAACCTACAACTTTACCATGCATATTTTGGAACTAAAATCCCCCTCCAATTCCTCCACCAGCACCACCTCCAAATCCACCACCAGCACCGCCTCCAAAACCTCCACCTGCACCACCTCCACCTCCAATACCACCACCAAGTCCTCCACCTGCCCCACCACCAGCTCCACCTCCAATTCCAACACCTCCACCTTTTCCACCTCCAAAACCACCACCAGCACCACCTCCACCACCAAGTCCTCCTCCGACACCACCACCAGCTCCACCTCCAAGTCCTCCACCACCACCACCAAGACCTCCTCCAGCACCACCGCCGGCTCCACCTCCACCACCAAGTCCTCCGGCACCACCGCCAACTCCTACACCTCCACCTTTTCCACCTCCAAAACCACCACCAGCACCACCTCCACCTCCAAGTCCACCACCACCGCCGGCTCCACCTCCACCACCAAGTCCTCCGGCACCACCGCCAACTCCCACACCTCCACCTTTTCCACCTCCAAAACCACCACCAGCACCACCTCCACCTCCAAGTCCTCCGCCAGCACCACCACCGGCTCCACCTCCAACTCCAACACCACCGCCAGGTCCACCACCAACGCCTACACCTCCACCTTTTCCACCTCCAAACCCGCCACCCGCACCACCTCCACCACCAAGTCCTCCTCCTGCACCACCACCAAGCCCCCCACCAGCTCCACCTCCAACTCCTACCCCACCACCTTTTCCCCCTCCGAAACCTCCACCTAAACCACCACCACCACCACCACCACCACCAAGCCCTCCTCCAAAACCAACTCCCAGGTTCTCCTTCTCAAGTTTTCGACATTCTGCTATCCCTATGGCAAACACAAATATCACTGCAAACACTCCAAGTCTTTTGGAACTTACTTTCCTCATCTTTCTTAAATGTAAACAAAACACTCCCAAGTCTTGGTCAGTGTTAAGCATTGTATTGATTTCAGCAAAGAACCTCTTATATATAGACTGTAATATCATAGAAGCCATTAATGCATGCAATCGATTAGTTGAAGATTTAGTTTTACATTGCACATATGCTTAAATGAAATGGTGCAAACTTTCAACTCGTTTAAAAAAAAAATAACTAAGCTGGCCGGTGACTTTGTCATTAATGTAGTCCTAGCTTCTCAACTACTAGCCTAGCTTATTTAGCTATAATGCTTGCCAGTGCTGCGCCACCACCGTCAGAAACGTCGACTACTTTCTCCTGTCCTGTCTGCCGGTTCAGAATTATTGAAACCAAAGTCTCATGAGTTATTTCTAGTTTTCCTGTGATGTTCATTTGTGGTCACTGTTCACCCAGTAATTTGAATCGTGGTCAACATGTATACGTGTGATCATGATCATACTATTAATTAAGGAAAGACTTGAAACACTTTCCTTTTGCAGCTTTTGTTTTGGGTACGAAAGAAGCTACCCAACCCATGTGATATGTTTAAATTGTCATTTAATAACATGTTTTCCCCTCTGATCGTGACTTACAACAAAAGTTTGGAACTCATTTTTATAAATTGAAAACAAATGGGTTGGAGAATCGGTAGTAAAAACAAGAACTAACAATACAATTTAATTCAAAATATAAAAATTTATTATGATATATAAGTATAGATATAAATTTATATTGTGAAATATTTTTTTAAAATAAAATCATGAAATTTTTATTTTAAAATAGTTAATATTTTTTAGATCTTATACGAGATTTCACAAATGGTATTAAAACATTTGTTAGTCAAATCGAAATTGAATACTATAAGATGAGAATTACTTTTAAAATTTTGAAAGAATTAAGTATTATATAATAAAATTTATTTTTAAAAGCTTAATGATTGGTGTGATTATAATTTTGTATATGTTTTGTGTTGAGTTTGACAAGTACATTAAGTTTTAATAAAGAAATTTATAACACCTCAATTTTATATTGAATTGTTTTGAAAATCTAACATGATATATAAGTTAAAATTTAAACTCAAATAAATGAAATATTTTTTACAAGATAAAATCAAAAAATTTTTGAATTAAAATAAATAATATCTCATAAATTAAATATAAATATCTATAAAAATAATTAATTATCAAGTAATAGCTTGAGGGTTTTAGGTCGAAAAGAACATGTTCTCTTGTACTATTTTTTTCTCTCCATATAAATAGATGTTGGAATTTTTTTTTGCAAGAAAGAAAAGATAGATCGAACTATAAAATCATTAAAAAGAATATTGTATTGTATCAATTCAATTTGGGTTAAATTAGTGAGTTTGTGAAATTTGGGCCAATGATTGGCCACATTTTTTCTAGAATCCAGAACAGGCCCTAATTTTAATTCAAAACAGGCCTCAAGAAACCCAATTGGAGTATTGCATCAATGACATTGGGTTCAATGTTTGAAGCATCTTGCATGATAAAAAGCAAGGTTCAAACAAGGGTTGAATGATTTTCTCGAACCTACGGGTTTCTTTTTCGTAAACGGGTTTTAAAACTTTTCATCTAAATTTGGGCCAACATATAATTTAATTATGGGTCTTAAGAAAAGCACGACACTGGATCCATAATCCAATTGATAGAGGATTTGATATCATTTTCTCTATCTTTCTTTAATTAAAATTAGATATAATAATTCATATATTTGTATGATATAAAATATTAATAATTTATATATTTATTATATTTATATAAATATTACATATCACAATTCGTATCGGTATGAAAAAATAAAATATATTTTTTTGATTTTATTAAGCTCAATTTTTACTAAAATTTTAAATCATGACATTTATATTTTTTATTCGTATTTTAGATTAACTCATATCGATTTCAAACTGGAACAACAACGGGGTTTTAGCTTCCGGAGCTTCTTCTTTTTTATGCCATTTAAATTATATCTATGTAATGTGCCAAAGATTCCAATATTTGTTATCTTTTCCACCGGAAAAAGCTGGACAAAAAAGGTGGATGAGAGTACATGTAGAGAGCACAAGGGGGATGCTGTTGCTGCTATTCGATCATTGCTTCACAGACGGAGTTGGTGAAACAAATTGATATTTCTCAAGTTTTTGACAAACCATTTGTAAGATCATTTGAAATGTTAACATCGAATAATATCATATGAACATTTGATGCTGGTTGTGCCGAGCTCCAAACTAAGGGTTTAGATTTTGAAATCATAAGAGAAAAAAAGAGAGGTTAAAAACAAAACAATGAGATATTTTTTATGTTTGTAATTTAACACTCAAGTCAGAAATTAAAATTAAAAAAATCGAAAAAAAAAGTAAAAAGTAAAGGAAATAATCAGATAAATAAATAATATCTCAATAACTCTATTTACAAAAGAAAATGAGAGTCTGAATTAACATGTCACTACATATGTCAAGTCAATTCAAAAATAAAAAATATCTTTAATTATATGCTGATAATCTCTAAAAAAAAAATTTATCTTTTAAACCCAAAAATACTCTTAAAAGGTGCAATGCAACAACAGAATCAGTGAATGTATCTGTCCAAATGTTGGCTTGGACAGCTTGTGGGTTTTTTAGGTCAGCCGCCATGCCGAGTGCCTAGTGCCACATCCACTGCGCATGTTGTGGAACCTCCACAACTGTTGTAAAAAGATGCATTACCCAATAATCAAGCTCATTGCAGCAATATTAATATTGTTTGGTAGAAAAAATGGAAGTGAAGCAAAAAGCAAAGGACAAGATAGGCTGAAAACGGAAAAAGGGCAAAAAATAAGTGGAACTTTTTAGATTTACAGACGATATTGACTCAAATCCCACTCACATTTCTAAGCGGACATGAAAAAGAACCGGTGAGATAGGATTTAGAAGACCCAGTAATTATTAAAGTAACAAAGCAAGACATTGATCGCACTCTATTTACACCAATGTAGATTGTGTTCTGTACAGCTTTCCTTAGTGGTCCTGACATGCTCTCATTTAAAAATCACAAGGTGACATGATCCCAACATGAATCTAAATCACACAGCACCACTGACAGATTTTCCAAGATTATTTTATGATGTCAGATTATAAAAAACATCTTACAACCAACCAATCATCCTCCAACTTGGGCAGCTCACATGGTACCAACTACTGTCTCCTTTTCGTCTTTCTTTGTCTGGCCTGGGTTTTTCGATGCCAATGCCACAAGTCTAAGCGGCAATCTTGTGGTAACCATCAGCTGAACAGCGATGGGTGTCTAAATGTTAGCAAAAAACTGCCCATGCTTCTACAGCTTTTGCTGAAAGGAAAGAATGGAACCAAAAACACACATTTGCTTCATGATTCCTTTTGAGAGCCATCTCCAGCCAAGTTACGAGCTTGCTGAAATTGGATAGTATATTGTCTTTGAAGATCTCTAAGCTTCTCCAATAGTTCCTGGAACGTTGGCCGGCACTGTGGATCACTGGTTTTGGAAAAGTTGTTCCATGTATCAGACCACAATTTCAAATTGTATCATAATTGGAAATTACTTCCGAAGACAATTGGGTCCTAATTAATAACTAAAGCACTACCTTAGCCAATGACCTAAAAACCTTAAATAATTCAGGCCATCATGATGATTGCAAATCGAATTTTAAAGTTCTAGTCCGTATTACTTGTGGATGCAACTTTAATCATGCATTCAGTGCATAAGTACCTAATTTGATTAATATAATGCCATGCTTGAGACTCTTAATGATACTTGGTCCATCATATTGAATTAACTTATTACTTATGCACTGGTTTACTACAGCCAAACTTTTAGCAGTGCATCTAGAAAAACATCAGAAAACATGTAAACATTATAACGAGATAAGCACCTGCGCCAGCAACTCTCAATTATAGAAGCCCACCGTGGATCTACTTCCTTTGGAATCTCTAGCCTTTGGTTCATGAACCCTACAGCTCCAATCACCTGCAAATATTCTAAACAAACTGTTGTTCATATATGCAGAGGTACAAGCTTTGCAATGCACAGTAGTTTCTAAAGGAAAATTCCACTCAAACCTATTCACACATTGCCAGCAAACGTTTTTTATAGTATGGAGAACAGGGGATCCAATATAGGACCTTCTCTTTAGAAGAGAGCAGTTGGTTGGATGATGTTCAACTCTTCAGACAAGAATGACTTGCAAATCTTTTAAATGAAAACTATACCTGCATTGAATTGAGATTATCCCAAGGTATCTTCTCAGTAGCAAGCTCCCATAATATGACTCCAAAACTATAAACATCGGACCTAAGTGTTTCACAAAAAGAACAAGAAATACAAGGTCAGCAGTGAGAGAAAAGGTCAATGTGATGGGGCCAGAAGATGGGGAATATGTTGTGTGCAAGTGAAAAAGAGAGCAGAGGGAGCAACATACTTCTCATCTGAGGGTTCATTACGAAGAACTTCTGGCGCCATCCATTGAGGCTTCAAAAAAGACATGGTATTTATAAGTCAACCATGAAACTAGAAAGTTATGCATCCTCACAACATGATTTAGACTCATTAGATTAATATTGTTGATGAAGCATATAAAGGTTTCAGTAAATACCGTTCCTTTCCCGGTCTTAGTTGTGAGATATGCTTCATGCTTGAGACGCGACAAACCAAAATCACCAACCTGTTCAAATAGAATCTTACTTTTTACCTTAAGCAAACAAAACGCATCCTCAAATCCTGAAGTAAACCAAAACTGGATTTCCAATTAAAAAAGATGCACATAGCTAATGGCAAACCTTCACAATCCAATTCTTATCAACTAGGAGATTTGAAGACTTCAAATCACGATGAATGATAGGTGGATTGCAATGATGAAGATAATTCATGCCTCGTGCCTGTAAAAGTTCGATCAATAAGATGAATTGGCAGAGGGAACGGCTACTCCAGTGACACAAACAAGAATGAAATAAAAACAAATGAAGACCAATGCATGATGGCATTATATCCATCACAATAGGAGAATCATCACAAAATTGAAAAAATAAAAAATCCAAAACTACTTGATACTCACAATATCAAAAGCCATATGAACACGCCGTCTCCAATCTAATTTGGTAGTATTCCTCTGTAGTAAGCGAAACATACTCCCACTGCATCAATAAAATATAAATATACGCATTCATTAAGCCAATAAGCAAATTAAACTTTAATTAAATCAGCAAAACTACTGTCCCAGAGAGCAATAGATATGCAATGTGAAAGTTACAAAAAAGAGTGTCAGCACAAAAGGAATTTCAAAAAGAAAGTTGAGATCAAACCGTGGAAGGAACTCTGTGACAATGCAGAGTCGTTGAGGTGAAGTCACAGCTCCCATGAACAGAAGAACATTTGGATGCCGAAGTCTTTTCATCAGAGATACCTTCAAAGCAAAAGCAAAAACAAAATAGTGAGAGCAGCATAGAAAAAGGATGAAAGAAACTCAAAATAATTACAAATGCGGCAACTTCGGCAAGTTGGTTAATACAAAGCGAGGATGGGCACGTATTACATGATTCTACGGTTACCATCAAAGAGAAAGAAAAATATGACTAAGTATGTAAACACAGTGAAAAATAATTTGACAATAAAGCACACCTCCTGTCTAAAGGAATGTATCACATCATCTGAATATTCCTGCTTTGAGAATACCTTGACAGCAACATCCTGCAAAAAAAAGAATGATTTACACAAATAATAAGATGATTACAATTTTTTTTCATGCTCCCTACCATTTTCCATTTAATAATTAATACCAATAAATAACTAAAGAGTACCAAGACTCATGTATTGCAATGACACCATCACTTCCATTAACTGGAATTATCCACAAGTATGGCATAAGATCCTCAAATAAATTTTGGATATTTCATCTTCCACTCTCTCTGTATTAGACTTAGGCACCAAATGCATGTTTGATGAACCTATATTAACCTATATTATGCAATACTATATAGAACATTAGCTGATGGGAATCTATGTCAGCATCTTTCCTTTTTATGCAAATTCTATTCACATAAGAGCATAAATATGGTTAGAGGGAAGAACCCAAAGCAAATCATGATACATCTTATCCCAAAATTTTAATCTATATTCATCTATAATGTGTTTGTACGTCCTCTCAAAAGTGAAGGCAATGAAAGGAGCAGGAGAACGTACTGATCCATACCACAGACCATGATACACAGTTCCACAAGAACCTGCGAGTAAACCAAAGGAGCATAAAGTAAGTGTTAAAATAACATATATCCAAGAAAAACACCACAGAAATAAATACAATAGCATAGAAACAAAGACATGGACAGAGCTTTGAGGCAATGACCAAATTCTCAGCCATTGACATGATTGTCAGGTGGACATTTGGGGTTTCATTCATGTGCTATGATATTACCCACATCAAAAGAGAATGAAGAGATTAGAACCAGTGCAAAGTTTTTAAGCATAAAGTACTGGCTCCAGTTATCAACAAGTTCATAATTCCTTCAAGTCTCCCAGTTGCTGTTATCTCTAAAGAAATTACCTTGACCAATTTGCTCTCCAATCGTCAAGTCTTCCCACAAAATTTCGTAATCTAAACAATCAGAGTCCATGTCAACTCTATTAACAGTACTGCTGCTGGTACTCCCACAGCTGCTGGCACTGCTTGTGCTGTTAACATTTACAGAGGAAGACCAGGAACCAGATGCCTCATTATTGACAGGTTTATTACTTTCATTAACATGGCCTTCAGATTTTGTACCAGAATACGGGCTCTTTTGTTGAAATGTTTCATTTTCTTGGTCGTTACCCACCCAAGGCCATACAAAACGTGTAGTCCTTGCCTCTGATCCTTCTCGATCATTCCCTTTCCAAGGCCATGATATCCCTTTCTTACCCATTAAGGCCATAATCTTTTGGATTGCAAGTTTTCCTTCACTCTCATCACCAGAATCTCTAGAGGTTTTTACCGGGGACTTCTCGTCCAAAGGAGCAAAGACACCAAAAGCAGATGGGTGTACATCTCCCCTAGGTGTGCTGGCTCCACTAGAAGTTGCATCTTCTTTATGATCAGAAAGAGCTGCATCGGAGAAACCATGATCAGAATGATGACTATCACCACTTCCGTCTTCACGATCAACACAATTCTCTCCTGTCCTAATCCTGGACTTCACTTTGTTGCTCACCTTGGAAGCCTGCATTGGTAAACAATTAACAATCAACACAAGCTAAAATCCAACCAGAACACAACACATGCAAAAATTAAGGAACAAATACCAAATTTGTAATTTTCGATGCAATTGCGGCTTGCAAAGGCTGCTGAGGATCAAGACCAAGTTTAGCAGAGACAGCATTTTTAGACCAGCTAAAGGTTGAATCTCCTTCTGGCTGCCTTTCAGCTGACAATGCAACTATCATTTCTTGGAAAGGCCGAGAATCAATGGATACACAAATGATTCCAACCAAAGAACCGTCATCATCACAAAAAGGAGTATTAGTTGCAACTGCTGAAAACCTCTCCCCCATTTTATTCTTAACAGGAAATTGCCCAGTCCAACTCTCCCCCATCATAACACGATGAACTATGTTATGAGCGACCCCAAAGTCCCTAGGATCACAGAGAAGCTCAATGGCGTCTTGCCTTAAGGCCTCAGCCGCTGAATAACCATAAAGCTTTTCAGCAGCCCGGTTCCTGCAAAAAGAAAAAAAGAAAAAAACAAAGCCCAAATAAAAACATTAACTTTATAACTCAATAATCGAAAAAAATAAAAACAAAAAGAAACCCTTGTTCACATACCAATAAATTATATGGCCACTAAGATCAAATATATGAACAGATTGTCCCATAGAATGTAATATACTAAAATACTGGCTATTAGTGAAATTAACGGCGGCTGGGCCTATATTCCCGGTTTTTCCACCGCCATTCACGACGTCACTGCTTCTGCTTTCTATTTGCAACGGCGAGGAATGTCGAAACGAACCTGAACCTTTCTTCCAAGCAGCAGCAGCAGCCGTCGTCGCAGCCACTGCGTTCCCCGGGAATCGCGGATGTTGAAGGGAAGTAGAGTGGGATCTTTGACGAGTTGAGTCAGGCTTTGACTCGACACCGGATTGTTTTAAACTAGACATTTCTTGCTTAAGATGCGCATGTCCCACTTCCAGTTCTTGGATCTTCCTCAACAGCTCCTCCGCTGGAGGCGTTTCCATTTCTGCTTTCCTTCCTTTTCCCTTGACCCAAACAAACTCAAAGCATGGGAAGCTTCAAAGCTTTGTTTATCACTCAAAGACTCCAACTTTTTCGTGTGTTTTTCTTTTTCTTTGGGCGTTTTCTGGTTTTTTTATCTCATCATTATTATCATATGAATCTAAGCTACATTCATACCCGATGCTTAAATACAGAAAGGACCACGGGTGGATATCTCACGCGCTATTAACTCACGTGGTGAGTATTAGCCTATTAAAGTGATAGATTTTACAAGAAGGTCCAATCCGTGTAGCGCGTTTTCTATAAACGTTAATTGCGGAAGCCTCCTTTTTTGGGAGGATTTCGGCTTTCACTTTTCCGCTTATAGGCTTGGAAAGCCTAGTTCCACTCTCTTTTTTGATGCTTCCAATCCACATTTTTGTTCGTTAATTAAAAATTAATGAAGCCGTTGAAATTTGGGGGATTAAAATTTTTTTTAATGCAAATGGGAGGGAGTTGTGGATTAGCTTCAAGGTTGCGATTAAGCTGGACTTCACATAATGTGAAATTACAAGTCTCTCCTTGATCTCATAAAATAATAATATTATTATTTATCGATCGGGTTCCAATTTTATGAATATTACACAAGTAAATTTTTTAATAAATTAAATTGATAAAAAAAATCTGAAGATAAACTGTCCCTTTTTTTTGTATAATATTTTTCTAATTAAATAATTAATAGGTTAAAAGATTTAAGGATTGATTAAAAATTTTTTAAAAAATAATTTAAGTTAAATACAAATAAAAATTAGGGGGCGTTTTTTTTTTTTTTTTTTTGTATTATGAACTGAAGCTGTATATTTCTTTTGAGCTAATCAACTAAAAGCTGTCTAAATCATCAAATTTTGAGGTTTTGGTCTTGAGATAAGTATGTCTTAAGGAAGAATAATGCCACTAAAAGGTTGGATGATGGAAAGCATGTTGATTATGTCTTGTTGATGACCAAGATTTTCGTGATTGTTTGTAGTAAAGAACTGTAAGATAAAGACAGCCATGAAACTAAGTCAGTATGGTAAGGAGATAAAGTAAAAAATGAGAGATTAAAATTAAAAAAAAAAACGAAATAAAAGTGTCTGTATTATATATAGGTACCAAAATGATCATATTATTATTTTAACGGTGATTTATGAGAATAAAAATGTTAAAATTCTTGTGTATTATAACTAAATGGAAGGAAAATCAGAAGGAAAAAAAAATATATATTGGGTTTTGAGTTTTACTTTGTCTCTAAGGTCAAGGCATGGGTATGGCTGTTTCTGAAGTTTTTCTTATCTCCTCTCTCTCTCTCTCTCTCTCTCTCTCTCTCAAGCATTTGTTCCTGTCTATTTAAATTTTATTTTAGGGTCAGTTTCATATATATTTTAAAATATAATATGAAAATATAATATAAAAATAAAATAATTTAATATTTTAATAAAAATTATAAATAACTTTAAATAAAAATATATTTTATATTTTTATATCTATATAAATTATAATAAATATTTTTTATATAAAATATAAAATATAATATAAATATATAAATTATTAATATTTTATATTATGTAAATTCGCCAATCGTCAATTTTACATATTTGAAAGGAAAGGCAAGTTGTAGCCTTTCTTTTTGTTTACGATCACAGCATGATTAAGGGCACGTAGGATTTTCTAGGTTGGATAAACACAAAACAGCAATAAAGTCTTTATTCTTCTTCTTCTTCTTCTTCTTTCTTTAAATTTAATTGAAGTATAATATTTAACTAAAAAATGGAACCAGAAAAAGGGCAAGTCCAAAAGCTTTGGGATGCCATCCTTATCTTAAACCCACATGCTTTTGGACATAATTAGAAGTGAATTCGCAAAAACATGTCAACGGAAAATCCCCCCATGCCTAATTTTTCTGTGAAGGTTTGTTTACAGCTGCTTACACTAATGTTTAATTTTCACTTATCAATAAGAGTGTAAACGAATAAAATTTTTAATGAATTATTTATAAATATGTTTAGTTTTTGTTTGTTTATATTTGTTTATTAAATTTAATAAATGATTTTGAATAATATTTTTATATTTATTTATTAAATAAATTGAATACAGATAAAGATCTTATTGATTCATTTATATTCATGAACAAATTCGTTTAAAATTTATTTAAAACTTGTTTAATTATTATTTGTTTGTTATTCATTTATAATAATACTAATAAAATTATATTTTTATCATTTATCTTAATCCTATTTTAAGATTCATTTGTATTTATTTTTTATTCATTTAGAGTTTATTTGTTTAAATTTTTTTTATTATGATTCATTTATATATATTCGTGAATATATTCATTTAATATTCACGAACAAACTCGTTTAACTTAATTGAATTGAACATGAACTAAATACGAATAACTTACTATTTAAGCGAATCAAACATAAGTGAATTAAGTAATTTTTTTAACAAACACAAACCAAATATAAACACTTCTAAAATAAATGAATAAACCACAAACGTTCATACATGTTCAATTCGTTTAGAGCCCTACTGACTAGATAATATGCTTTAATTGCTATTTAATATTAACATTGCTTTATCAGCATAGTTAATGTATCACTTTCATGTCCAGGGAAACAGTGTTCAAATTATAATATATATATATATATATATATATTCTTAAGCTTCGGGATTCATTTGCTGTCAAGATACATTGAAAAACTTTTCTTTTCATCTTTCTCGCTTTATTCTTTATAGCTCAAGATGCAATACTCCAACTAGGCATGGGGTACCTGGTAGTTCATACAACCACAAGAGAAAAAAAAAAAGGCACAAAGAAGAAAGAAGGGGGTAAAGAACAAAACTCCATTTGTGATAGGCAAAAAGCAGAAAAGATAACTCCAGAACTTCCACTGCTAACTTTGGTTTAAAAGATGACAGATACAACATTTGGTTAATGGTAACTTTGATCAAAATCATTCACTTGCTAAATGCAGCAGATTCTCTCTGTATATAATACTGTATAGATGACTACATCTGTTTCATAATCCATGACAAGAAGGATAAAAGTATCAAACCAGTCAATGATTCCCAACTTATCCTCTCTAAACAATAAATCCTGAGTAATTACAAGGAGAAGCAGATATATATATCAGATTGTCAAGAGTACATAGGTTACATAAATTTCAACAACCAGAGCAGAACTGACTTTATTATAAGGAGAGGGGAAACGAAAAACTTTGGAGGGGTAACCTAAAGCAGGTGAATATGTTACAATTATCTTCTTAGCATCTTGAGAAGATTTAATCTAACTCAGATAATACATGCAGAATACATGTTGTGGCGGGAGACAGCTCAATCTAACAGCATGTTCAATACCACAACAGTTTTTTGTAGTGGAATGGATCTACAACATTATACAAGTACCCTCATCCAGTTCTGCTTGTTGAGTAACACTACAGTTAATAAAATGCAATACAATAACCATCATTATGATTTTTCACTACTACACTGAGGACAAGGATTCGATCGTTTGGCTCATAATGATACAGTTATTTGAACTGGAACATACCAGGAAATAGCAAGTGCTAAAAGCATTTCAACTTGAGTGTAGACCAGAATTCTTCAATCTGTTTAGTACCATTAGTTGAATCTGGCGGCTCTAGGTCATGTATAAGCCATGCAACTTGAATAAGCACAGGTTTTGGCATATGACAGAAAAAGAACTCAGCTTAAATTTGACAAAGGTCGGAAATATTGGGGATCTTAAGGGCAGATAACCTAGTCAACACTCTTTGAGCCTCTCCGAGGTACAGGTAGTTCAAGGATAATTAAGAAATAACATCTTTCTGACTCTCTGATATATTGGACCTCACCATTCATGAGCTTTAAGATTTTTCGGCACATGCTCAACCCTAAGCCCTCTTGTGTCATCCATCGACTGCTATGGAACATGTCCTGAACCAATTCAGGAGGAAGACCTTCGCCAGGGCATACCATCCTTCACAAATAAACCATTGTTTTTGAGATTAGCACCATAAGTAAAATGGATTCATATCAATGATCCAAGAAAAAGAACAAATACTGCTCTTTCCATCACATATTTGTACTTAGTAAAGAAACTACAAATAAAAGCTGCAACTAAGATTTTATGAAGAACATTGTCACTTGACTTCTACAGGTTTGAACTTCATATGAATTTACACGTATTGGCAGAATCAAGTTTTCCAGAATATATTATGTCTTTAGCTTTAATGTCATGATTGTAAAATTTTGACTCCAATAAATAATACTGTAGTTTCTCCTTTTCATTATATTAGAATCACAGTTGACATTTATCTTGCGCAATGCATAAAAGAGTGAAAGCAAAATACCTGAATTCTGTACGAACAATATCAAGTCCGTCAGAAATTCGCTTCAAAGTTGGACGAACATGAATCTCTACCCAACCTTCGTCAGATGGTGCATAACGCACCATATTCAACAAAAAATCAGCCAATACCTGTTGAATTCTTGCCTGATCACCATTAACAGCCAGAGTTTTGATCTCCTCTGGAATATCCCGAATCAACTGCAGATTTCTTTCCCTCAGCAGTAGCATTACTTGGCTAACAACAGCATTTATGACACTCCCAAGATAAAATTCAGCCTTTTCAAGCTCCATAGAACTAATTCCAACAAAAGCAAGGGAAGAATTAGATCATGTCTTCCTAATTAGTAAAATTATGCCGGAGGTATTTCGTTAAAAATATTATTACATGCCTGATATTGAATAAAGTAGAAATCACAAAAGAGGCAAGTCAAAATAGAAATAAGTTTTTGATCCAAAGATTCAGCAATGAAACCTTGTGGTTTGCCTTCAGTTTCTTAAAGCCATATTCACAAGAGAAAATACAGATACAAACTTAAAAAGAGATTCATGGTTGATGCCTCACAGTCAAGTGACATAAACAAATGTTTTTTCAAATTAACTTTCGCAACTTTGCTATAGTTGACTTTCAACCAATTTTGCTATAAACATTTCCAAAATGAGATGTTATGACAACAACCTTAAAGATAAGGCACCTCCATGTATAGTGACGGAGAAAAAGAAGCACGCATCTTACAACTATGATGAATACGGTATTAGAGGATAACTTTCTCATACATTTAAGGTTATCATTCATCCGTAAAAAGAATATTTCAGACTCATACATTTAAGGGTATCATTCATCCATAAAACGAATGTTTTAAACATAGTTAGGGTCAAGGTAATTATGATGCCAGTATTTTTATTTCACTCACAACACTCTGAGTTAGATCCCAATGCAATTGCATAAGAAATCTAACAGATGTAATTGCCATAGATGAAATAGTGTTCAACAGTCCAGCTCAGATGTATGTTCCTTCAAAGTCCTAGAAATCAAACAATTGAGACGAATATAATTCCTGATGAACATGCATGTAATC